ATATCAATTATTTATATAACTGTCAATAACTAATCAAACCTAAAATAAATTGTTTTGTATAGTGATAGTAATGACAAAACAAAAAATTGTGGAATTGTTTTCAACACTTTTTTAATTGTCTATGCTTGTTTGCTGATATGCCATAACAGTTACTAACAGTATTTTATTTTTCTTCAAAATCATCATCATACTATTATAACTGGAATATTCTGCTGAAATAGTTATAGCAACGTACAGATCAGACTAAACATTTTAGCAACATAATGGGAAAAAATGCCTTTATTACAAGGAACACAACTGAATTACTATACTGAATATCATCACTGGTAGCTTTAGAGGAGAAAACAAAAATGCTATTTACTTGTGATGGAAGTTAAAAGAGATTTTATTTCAAGCACTTTTCTATTTGTCTATTTATCATGATTTTTTTTAGTATTATTTCTGTTACTACCATTATTTGTTTTTGTGATTTACTATTGGCATATAAACCATGACATATCAATATGATAAGTGTAACTGTAGGTGTACTTTGTTTTCACAGTTTTAAGTTTGTTGTATGTAAGCTTTAGCCTCCGACACTGGTCCGCTCCACTTGTCAGACCAAATTTGGAAACTTGCCCAAGATGCTTGAATTTTTTCAAAAATCCACCCCCTTTCAAGATACATCACCAGACGGGGGTGACTGCTGTACTGCTGTAGGAGGTGAGTAGGTATGTTTACAGCAGATACAGCAATAGTTATTATGTTCATTTGGGCCGGAGTGTCACTTTAACATCCAGCCGTTTGAAAGTTACCATGTTTAGGTTCTACATTAGGGATAAAATGTGTGTCTGTTTTTAATCACACCTCCACATTCATCACTGGCTGATCTGGAATATAATTTGGCAGGAGAGGTAATGGGGTTTTGTGTTAATCGACTTTGCACGTTTGCAGATAGGGGTGGTTTCTGCCTCAGTAATTAGCGCCTGCTATTCTCCTGCTTAGCCAGGTCCGCCTGTTGCTGCGCGGCCGGTGTGTATTAATGATGCGAGCGCTGTGCTGTGTCAGCGGGGAGTTGCTCCAGAGGAAATACCAGAGCAGCCGCGTGTGTGTGAGTGTGCAGCACAGACGAGAATTCACCGCTCCACAGGTGCTGCACACAGGTAGCCGCTGTCTCTCTCTCTCTCTCTCTCTCACTCTCTCTCTCTCTCTCTCTCTCACTCTCTCTCTCACTCTCTCTCTCACTCTCTCACTCCCCCCCCCCAATCTCCATCTCCTTCGCTTCATGAGCAGCAATCAGTAGAGGCACAGATGCCTTCTCGCAGAAGCATGCATGCTTTAAACACACAGGGGAGCACACTAACGCGCACTTTCACACAAACAAGATGCAAAATTTGTCACTGTGTACTAAATATAGAGACAGGAACAAATGAATATTTTCTAAAGGGGCTTTCACACCTACCTTGTTTGTCACAATCAAACTTTTTCGTTAGTTCAGCTCGTTTTGACAGGTGTGAACGTTCCCATTGTCGGATGTGAAAAAAAACAAAATCAACAGTTCCACTTTGAAGAGGACTTTGGTTCAGCTCACAGCTGGTGGGAAGATGTTTTTATGACGGTCCTCACTACAATAAGTAGGTAGGTAGTTTATGGGTGAGATTTTTTTTTACAGTCTTTTGTACAGACATTGTCAGTTCACGTCACTAGTCATATTAAGCAAAATGCATTTTATCATTTGAAGGATAAATTTCTTGTTTTTTCACAATATTTCATTAAAAAGTCCTGACTTTGCCCACCTTCTGAGTTTTGATGATGTCATTGTGTACCTGCAGGTGGGGAACAATAATATTAACCAATAGTATCCTGTTACACCTGCTCCTCCCACCTTTGAGCAAAAACACTCAGCTAGCGCAGAGATTCTCCCTGATACCACGTTTCACATCATGGTACTGAAAGAAAATGCGTTATGATTTCAGATTCCTGTTGTCTTTAAAGATCTTATATCCTGTTTTTTTTGTATTTCATATTTTTCCTCGAGGACCATTTATGACATTTGGTTGGTTTAGTGTTCCAAAAATGGTCACAATTCATGTTCACATGACCATTTCCAACCTCCAATTGCCTCTTAGAATTTTATTTAGAAATTTATTTTATTATTTTGTCTTTATGACTGATATAAGATATAAGACCTCTGTTCTAACTGGCTGTCTTGTATTGTGCCTCATTCAAAAAGCACTCAGAGCTGAAGCACTCCCTTGAACTTCAATATGAATGGGTGGAGCCAAAGTGCTGTAGGCTTGTTCTTGTGACATCACAGAAACAATGAAACAGGCTGCTTCCACATATGGACTGAATGGACTGGGTCATGAATGGCATGTCTTGAAACTCTGGCAATGTTTACATACCACTTCAAAACTACTTTATCTCAAAAACGCAAGGGAAATTTGGTTGTCCAATGATAGAGACAAAATTATATCAATGTGTGAGATGCCCTTTGGACAAGTGGTAGCATGGGTAACAAAAAGTTCTTACCAAAGTCCTTACCAAAATGAGCTAGATAAACTCTCAGCACAACATCACCGAGCACCCCAATCAGCACTGCTGAATACTCACATGGACATGCACACCCACATGGACAAACAGTTTGATAAGTTGTAAAACCAAAACCACATTAAAAAGATGCAATATAACCAAACAATGAACTCTGGTGCAGAGTTTAGTGATCGAACTAGGTGTGAAAACAGTTTCTACAGCCAAACTGCTACTGCCATCTCAAGTGCCAACTCTGCTCCCAGAACATCATCAGTAGTAGCTTGGGATATGTGATAGAGGGAACGCATAACTATAAATCTGTGGCCTGAGACACAGGACCTCCTTTTAAAGTGACAGTTTAACTGCTACTTTCACCTCTAAAAGTCCCAGGTTTATTAAACTCTTAGGCGTATTATTCAGCAACTACAGGGACTACAGTGCAAACTGGCTGAGCTACACTCTTAAAAAGATGGTGGTTTAAAGGTTCTTAAGTAAAAAAAACCCTTTGCATGATTAAAGGGTTCTTTGCAGTGCGAAAGAGTTCTTCAGATTGATTGTGAATGTGTTGTATATGGTTCTATATAGCACCAAAAAGGGTTCTTCTACTGTTACGATATCAAGCTTGTAACAATAAGAGAACCCTTTTTGGAGCCACTTAGAACCCTTCTCAAAAAGGTGCTATGAGGACCCATCTACAGCACATCAACAATCTCTATCAACCTGAAGAACCCGTTCATCCTGCATGGAACTCTTTAATCATGCAAAGGGTTCTTTGAGAGTTCAAGGTTCTATGTAGAGTCCTTTTCATTATTAAAGAACCCTTGAAGAACCAGCTTTTTTAATATGTGTATTCTTAGGTTATAGAGGTGTGTAGGTAAACTTTGAGTCCACCGGTGGGTAATGACTATTTAAGGGGTTAAATTAATTTAAACTTTTATAATAAAAAATCAAATTTACATAATTCTCTACTTAGTGCAAATACAGTCGATCGGACAAAACGAGTTTGCTTCTTTGGTTTTGCACTGAAGCTTTGAGTCTAATGTAACTGTCACGCCTCCTGCCGAGAACGCCTCCTCTGCCTGTTCCTGTTCCCCTGCAGAATCACGTAGACTGTCTAGAGGACTCTGAGCTGACTTCGTAACAGTAACAAGAAATAGAAGCTTATCAGTTCCAAGACAGCTAATTATCATCATGCAAACTGCACGCTTAAATCATCACACACCCGTCTCAGTCCACATCGAGTCATCTCAAATAGACTTGCTTATGTGGTTTCTTACACTGCATGGCATATTGTTATTTATAAACATGGACAAAACCATATTGTACAGCTAAAAACAGCAGCAGAAGGCATTTTAAACCCTGAACTTTGCTCATTTTTATCATACAGTGACAGAAACAATGTCGATAGCAAGCAATTAAAATGTGTGATGATTCAGTCAAGCAGTTTATACAATTCCAGCCTGGTAGCTTTAAGCTTTCATTACTAGTTCCTTTAGCTTCACAGCTCCAGTGCAAAACTAAAGGATCACACTTAAAACACCAAACATGTTTTGGCTGATCAACAACTGGACGGTTCACAGAACTATCACTCTAAATGATGAGGTTGTAACATTGGAGGCAACTTCAAAGGAATTGAAGCGAATGGCTTCGTGAGACTCAATATCTAAAAGCTTCCGAAGAAAAACAATTTTTCAAATTTTCAAGAGTGTTTCAGTGGGAGAACTCTGGCTAAGGCAGCTGATGTGCCTATGGATGCCCCCACAGCACCATTTCAGCTGCAATATGAGTCAACCTGTCTTGCAAAAATGCAGAGCAGTGTGTCAGCCGCCTATTGTATGGCTGGAGGAGAGAAGGGGATCCGTATTCACTCTCACTAATTCAATTAACACAGTGTCAGGGACTTCATTACTAGCTTCTGACTGCTAATGAATCTGCAAAATGCAAACACTTCCTCCGACATACACATGCAGTACTGTGCAGAAGTCAGAGACCAGCACTCATTTACTTAATTTCCACTCGAAACAGCCGCAGAGTACAAGTTATTTATTTTTCAGCATCATGTTGAGTTGTCTTTTCACAGTGGAAGGATGAACAGAAACACCTGTGGATTTTCTGAGATTTGAAGCAGCTTGATTTTCTCCTCTCTCTCAAAGATGAAAGCTTTAAGTGCTGTTTCTCTGATGGGGATACCTTTTACCCATTTCACCCATTTACTCTGTATCTTTCAATATGTTTCCAGTTTTGGAAACCCCTGTTTTTTCACTTGTTTCCTTTGCCTTTCTTCTTCTTTATGCAAGTAGATTATCTTACTTCTAATCTCCTCAGAAATATCTCCTTAAAAATGAATAACTTGTACTGAACGGCTGTTTTGACATGGAATTTCTGACTTTTGCCCAGTACTGTAGATGTGTCATCCAAGTGAATAAGAGAGCTCGTACAACAGCAGCATATGTGTGCATGCCTGTGTGTGTGTATAGAATTAGACTTACGGGCTGCTTTGGTCCCAGACAACACATTGTGGGTCTGACGTGCCCTTTAGAGAGAAGAGACAGACAGAGAAGGAAGGAGGGAGTTAGCGCTGGAGGAGATAAACAGGAGGCGTTAGGAGGTAAAACAGAATGCATCAGACAAGGAAAAAGCTGCAAAAAAAGTGCTCTTTGTGCATGTTTGTGTTTATACTGAACAACAGGTTCTTGGGACTCAAACTCAAGTCAGCCCTTTTATTTATCGTTCAGCACACATCTCTGTCTAGACTGCAGATGATTCATTACCAAAACTCATTCACAATTTATTGATTCGCAAGAGTCAAGGCTGATTCCCTCACTTCCAGGCCAGAGTGAGGCCCTAATCAGGGTTCAGTGGTGCATGGCTGGGTGAATCGCCCATTATTGGTTCATCAGTGAATCGACGGGTATAATTGACTAATCTGTCTCAGCTCCACTTCTGCCCATTATCTCTCTCTTTGGAGGGAGAGTTGTCCAGGGGCAGCACTTACTGACCCCTCTAATGGGGATCTTATGTCTCCAAACTATTGCTGTTTTTATAGCAGTTTTTATGAACTGCTCATGTCAGTATTCGAAATATTAGACATTTAAAGAAGTTCAATACATTATATTGACATGAGGGGACATGTGAGGAGAAACTGTTCCATTTATGTCACTTTTCCACCAAACTTTAATGTTGGCCCTAGGCATTCTGTGGGGGTTGTGTTCTCCTGGCATCTGCCAAACCCAGATTCATCCATCAGACTGCCAGTGGAACGTTTCCACTGCTCAAGAGTCCAGTCATGGCGTACTTCACACCCCTCCAGCCGACGCTCGGCATTGCGCATAGTGATCTTAGGCTTGTGGGCAGCTGCTTTGCCATGGAAACCCATATCATGAAGCTCCCAACACACAGTCTAATTTTATTTAAATTTCTTATCTAAATTTCTGTCCTCTAGTCGAGCAGGACAGAAATTTCACAAACTAACTTGTAGTGAAGGTGGCATCCTACGACACTGCCATGTTTTCCATTCTACTGTCAGCGTGTGTCTATGGAGATCGCATGGCTATGCTTGATTTTGTACACCTGTTAGCAATGGGTATGGCTGAAACACCTGAACCTAACAATTAGATGAGGTGTCCACATTCTTTTGGCCATGTAAAGCACATAAAATTGATGGTGTTGTTAAACAGGCCTCCGCCTATTTCATTATTTAGGAATGATGCTTCATAACAGTGTTATAAATAAAACAACTGTCCATCACTTTAGTTTTAGGCCCCTTATGTCAATACATTGTCATTTACTTCATAAAGCATCTTATGTTATCTTGTGATTACTGGCATAAGCTCTTCTCAAATATTCAAGTATTCGTTTATAAATATGTTATTCAATCCTTATGACTTATGAAGTCCCTACATAGGTAGCCTTTGAAATAAAGTGTTACCCTATTACTGCATAACAACCCAAGAGTCTGGCTAAAAGAACAGAAAAAAGAAGACATAATTTTCAAGTAAGACCACTAAACAAAAATTTAGCAAATTTTTTCTTAGATCTTTTCCCTATAATCCCTTTTACAAGGTCTTTTATTCTCTATAATTCCACAAAAAAAGGAAAAAAAAAGGCTTGTGAAATAAATTCATGTGCCCCCTGGTGACTGACTGTGGCATGACTTTTGCTTAACTACTGAATAACTGGCTATTAGCCTCATATCACATCAAAAGAACAGCAGCCCTCAGCATCCTTTGCTAAGCTGTACAGAAATGCATGCAGGCGCACGCACGTACGCATGCACCCTTGTCTTTGCTGCCTTATGTGTCCTGACAGCATATGGCCTGGCCTGCACTAATTGCGCAGTGTGCGAGCACTGATGGCACTCCAGTACAGCTCTGCCAGTTCACGTTCAGCAGCACGGAGCCTATTAGCACATACAGAGCAGCGACATAAGGAATTTAGCTCCGGATACGGCTCGTGGATACCAGGAGGACAGAGTTGGCTGCTTGGAAGACAAAGTGAGCAGAATGCAAGATTTTTTTTTGTTATGTGATGCTAAAATCACTGAAATCACTTTCACTTAGATCAGCTGTCAGTAACAGACTCGTTGAAGCCTGTGGCCAAGGCACGGACCACCGCGCGAGCTGCCTGGGCTAAAACTGACAGATATGGATGAGGCCTGGCCACTGAGAGAGCTAGCCACAGCTGGTGGTGAGAGGGGGCGGCTATGCCTCCACCTCCCAGCATGCCACTGTGGGTCAGGTCAGAGCAGGCATGCTGCCTCAGAGCAGCTGTCCATACTGAGAGGACATGTCCCAGCCCCCCTAAACCAACATCTGTGGCCAGGACGTGTGGGTACAGACCCTGGCCGAGATCCACTCCGGGACCACCACTGAACAGGTCACGACCTACCATCGCCTCTGGAGAGATTTGGAAAGGTTGAGCATGTACGCACATACACACCCACACTCGGTCCCAAAACTCCAGCAGGAGGCAGCAGGTGAAGGTTGCCATAGCAACGCAGGGGTGGCGGGGGATCAAAATGACAGATTTCTGCTGATTTACTAACCACACCAATAGCACTGCAGCACAGGAGCCTCCACATTGCTTCCTCTGACACACTGTCAACCCATCTGGAGGTCAAATATGACACACGCTAAAATATGAACGTAATGCTGGCAATTTCACATTACATGCTAAAACTGTATCGCTCCATGTGCTGGCAGCTAGCAGCTTCCAGGCTTCTGGGCTGTGTTAATTTTCATGTACAAATAATGTGTTTTTTCATGGATGAAGGGGCATACTGTGTATAGGTCACGTCTAATGCCAGTTGTTGTACACATAATTATTATATGACCACACAGTTAGCACACAGAGGCTATATTATCAAAAGGTCACAAAGCTGTTGTAGGAACATGGTAGTTAAGGATAATGTTAGCAAGGCATCCCTAATAGCTATAATGAAAGAACTTGGTTCTTCACAGCTGAATACAAAGTAAAACCATGCATGGTGCAGAAAATAATGTAATATTTTGTTGCAGGTGTGAGAAAACTTTTCTCAGAAGTGAAAACTTTAAAGTCTGCGTTCGAAAGGCTAGACGAGCTTTTAGCTCAAAAATGTTGTCACTTAAATTATATATGATATGATGAACTGTGCTTCATTTGACCAGAAATATGAATTAAACAAGTTTAAACAAGGTCTATTTTCAAGTTCGATCCCTGGTGATGCTACAGCCATCCGTGGCCGGGAGTCCAAGAGAGCACAATTGGCCTCGCTCTCTGGGTGGGTAGGATGGCCCCTCCTTCTCCCCACATCACTCAGTGTGATGATAGTCAGCGCAGGCATCTGTTAGCTGATGTAGCAGATCTGGTGGTTGGCAATTTCCTCAGAGCGCGTTCGGCTGTCCAATGATGTTAGGTGAGCGGCATTTCGAAAAGATGTGGCGGCGCTTCACAGGTCTCGGAGGAAGGCTGTGCTAGCCTTTGCCCTCCTAGAGCTGGTGGTATCGTGGGATTGGGGGAGTCCTAATTAGTGAGTTGAATAGGATATGACTAAATTGGGGACAAAATTGGGAAAATAATCCAAAAAAAAGTCTTTTGACTTCAGGTTGACTTTGAAGGAGAAGGCAAAATGTTCTTCATTTTAATTTTAAAATGACAAATGAAAAATGTAACTGCAATTATATTTGTTGTAAATAGGCTTACTTACATCCTACAGCAGTACCTGAATAGTCTGTGCAGCAATATTTTCCAGTTTAAAGGTTAGGGAAACCCCTTCTGACGACAGCTTTTTTAAGGTGAGAGGAACATTTGAAGAACTCCAAGCCTTTTGGGGCAGGTACCTGAGGGTACGTTGTTAGAAATGTTTTTTTTTTCAGTAGCTGGCCAATGTAGAAGGAAGCTAGACAGCTAACTTAGTTCTAGTAAGCTTAATATTACGTCTGTATCTATAACCCTCTACATCAATGGCTATGTCATTGGGATTGCCAATAGCGGTATAATATATTTGCATAATGCATGCTGGGAATTGTAGTGAGAGAACACTGGCAGGCAAAAACAGCAAATACAGGCAACAGTGAATTCTGTCAAACTGATGCTGAGGAAAGTAAAGCTGTGCTACAGAATGTGTTATTTCTCATAACATGAGAAATAACATATTAACATGTCATCCCTGTTAGAACAAAACCTCATATCTCCAAAAAGTAACTTTACAAAAAATCGAAAAACACTCCTAACTTTGTATGGAGGATTATATTCTACTTCATTTTGGACTATTTCTGTTTGTCCATTTGTCAATAAACTTCGACACAATATAAAGAGCAGCTCTTATTTTCGAATTATATCAAAAAATGAAAATCGACAACGAGTAATTTATAGAGTAATTTTGGACCACTTGTACTGGTCCATTCATCATGAAGTGTTCACAAAATTTAAAGGACAGCTGGTGTTTTCAAATGGTCTAAAACATAAATAAATAAATACAGAAAAAAATGAATTGACAATTTAAATCAGGGTTTAATTTTATGACTGAGGTGCGATTACTCACATTCAGCAGAGGCGCCAGTTCCACCACTACCACAGGCTCAGTGGGTTTGGGTAAAGGACGCACTGTCACTGTCAAAATCTTCGAGCTGATCACCAGTGGATCTCTGACAAAACACAGAACAAGACAGAAAGTGATGAGGAGTAATAAAAAAAACAAAAAAAACAAGGCGCTGCATTGCATTGAATTGAAGTGACTGTTAGGTTGTGCTATTTTGGCCTGTTTGCCTGTACACAAGTTTGTTTGCTTGTTTGTTTGTGTGTGTTTGTGTGTGTGTGAGAGACAGAGAGGTAGAAGTGAGGTCACAATGAGGAACAGACTGGACGGGCTTGTTTGGCCCGCAGCAGAGAGAGAGCGAGACTGTGTGCTCTCTCGAGAAAATTAATGAGACGCAAACCAAAAGCCAACCAAAACTAAACAAACAGTCGTGATCCCATACATATTCAACAGCCTCGACTGCAACCAAGCACACTGAAGAGCAATGACCTGGATACCTCTCACCTCAACTCATACAAGCATGCGGAGGAGAGGGTAAGGGGAGAGGGGGAGACGGGGAGGGAGAGTGAGAGAGAGAGAAAGAGACATAAAGAGACAGGGAAGGAAGAGAGAAATGGGGAAGGAGAGAGAGAAAGGACAGACAGAAAAGAGAGAGACAAGAAACAGAAAAGAAAGAGAGAGAGAGAGAAGACAGAAAGAAGATAGGAGAGATAGAGAGAAAGAGAGAGAGAGAGAGAGAGAGGGAGAGATGTAGAGACATGAGACACAGAGGAGGTAAAATTAAGGCAATGACAGAAAAGAAATGACAGAGAAAGATAGAGAAGAGAGAGAGAGAGAGAGCGAGAGAGCGAGAGAGTGTGAGAGAGAGAGTGAGAGAGAAAGAGAGAGAGAGAGAAAGAGAAAGAGAGAGAGAGAGAGCGAGAGAGTGTGAGAGAGAGAGAGTGAGAGAGAAAGAGAGAGAGAGAAGAGAGAGAGAGAGAGAGAGAGAGAGAGAGAGAGAGAGAAAGAGAGAGAGAGAGAGAGAGAGAGAGAGAGAGAGTGAGAGAGAAAGAGAGAGAGAGAGAGAGAGAGAGAAGAGACATGGAGGAGGTAAAATGGAAAGAAAGGAAAGTGAAGGTGAACTGAACAGGCTGAGTGTTGGAAATCAAAGCTAGTTGAATGGCAGGGGAGGCTGTGGTGTTGGCAGTGGGGGTAAAGGCCTCTGACACAGTTTGTTGAATTTGGATGGCAGAGCCCTGCAGGTTTAGAGCATTTAGAGCAGGAGAGGATGAGGGTTACTCTGCATGCCCCTTAGTCCACACCGAGTACATCTTCCTAATTAAGCTTCTCTCCTGCTCAGCCTGAAAAGTCCAGCAGTCTGGTCCACTCAAATGGCACTTCCACTGCACTAAGTACCCTCTTACCAATGGCTAGATTCAGACCATCAGTCCACTTCCACACTGTCAGCATCATTAATTCTATTACTCATTTTCTATTCATTTGTATTATGTGTACCTGCCCAGTGTGTATCCTGCCTTCCACCCAATGACGGCTGAGATAGGGTCCAGCTCCCCCCGCAACCCAGAAGGATAAGCAGCTTAGAAAATGTGTGTGTGTGTGTGTGTGTGTGTATTATATGTAATGGCAGAGCATATATTTATAAGCAATGTCCTTCACCTTTTCCTTAGCTTTGAGGATCCACTTTTACAGTGAGCTGCAATTAGCACAACTTGTTAAAGATCATAGTTATTAAATAGTACCAATCTGTTAGCATAGCTTCTTAGTGATTCAGCTAGCTATGTTTGATGGAATGGAAGAGTAGACAGCAAGTAATTTATTGCTGTGCTTAGAGCTGAATTGTTAGTGAACTTTGTCTTTTGATATTGCTGTGAATGATTCACAAAGTGAATCACAAGTGTGTTTTGGGTACATGGGGAGTCAGGCTGTGGATTTGAAAGTATTTTTTTCTCTGTTCATTTGCTCATCTCCTTATGGAAGCCTATTTCCGTCAGATAGAGGAGAAACATAAAAATCTCTGTTTTTTTAGCTGTGTCTCTGTTTCTGGCAGCAGTATGTCAAAATTTGTTTTATTTTCTCTAAATATTGACATCACAAAATAGTGACTTATATTCTCTAAATATTGACTAAATATCTTGAAATAATGACATTTTCTCTGCTTACTGGCTGAGTATTACAAAAGAATAGACTTAATATCAACTTAATACAGTGAAGTATTTACTTATTTTCTCAAAATGATGACTTGGTACCTCAAATAATGACTTTCTCAAAATACTGATTTAAAGCTGCACTACACAGCGGATAAATCTGATGATTACCGGTGCGTTGAATGAGTTTTCAAAGAGAACACAGTCAGTGACGTGGTCTGAAAAACTCCCATGAAATCCATCCCAAAGCCTCCGGCTTTATAATACTATTCCAGGCACTGCAGGATAAATTGTTTTGAAACGCTACTTCTTTCAATTTTAATACATTTTTTTTACATAGTGCAGCTTTAATATCTCAAAATACTTTCTTATTTTCTTGAAATTTAGAAGCTAATTATTTAAATTATTATTTTCATTCTGACATAGTCAAAATTCTGAGAAAATAAGTAACAAAAATAACAAAATAAATGCTTCCAGAAACAGAGAAGGAGGAAAATCAGAGAATATTGGGAAGTTCATCATGTTAAGTGCTGTCCCTTTACTAGAGGACATGAGTGGAGGATGTAAAAAGCTCCTCAGATGGTCACATAGCCCAGTTAAATGGACACTCCAGCCTGTTTCAGCCTAATCTCTAGCTGCTGCATCTGTAACATATGGTTAATTATTATGAACAATAATTTCGCTGTACTTGGAAATCAATAGAAAACCCATTGACTTCCACAGTATCTCTGCCCACCGGCTTTTACTGTGAGTGTGTTTCATTACAAATGTAATTTCAGAATGAATGCTATGTTGTATGATCCTGGTTATCTTAGCACTGCCCTCAGCAGACAATTTCTATTTGGATGTAAGTGAAGTTTAGTTGGTGTGAAAGTGACAAGAATGTCCCAGTACTGGTGTTCGCACCTCGCTGCCTCACCTCCTCTGCTTCATGAACTTTGAACCATGTGATGAGTGCAGGACGGCAGGAGAGGAGGAAACACTTCTAGGACAAAGCTAGTGAGTCAGTGATTCAGTGTTAGGGACACTGACTATTCTTGGCCTCACCAGATGAGTTAGTCATATCAAAGGAGTGCTAACAGAAGGGGCTGAACACTATAGATTGTCTCTTGAGGGATTATAGGATTAAGTAATACGCTATAAGCCAAATGCTGTAAGCTACATCCCCAAGGAGGATATTACAGCATAGCTAACATAGAGCCTTTCATACTGGCTCTAGCAGGTACCACTGAGGCAGGGGCATTGTACGCAATAGAAAGATCAGAACAGAAAGGCCAACTGGTATTTTTTGCAGATGTCAAATGTGACAGTAAAAAGGCTCTCAGATCAAAGCAGAGCAAAGTTGGCTTCTGGAGTACACACACCTTTATATGGTTCATATCCCAATATGAGATTCACAACCGGATAGGCACACAACACAACATTTCACCCAAAACATTATGTTAAACAATGTTAAGACAAATCGTTCAAATATAAATGCAGTGCAAAAGTCAGAGAACATCTGTCATATATTTAATTTCTAGTTAAAACTCTCATTAAGTACAAGTTATTACATTTACTGCAGATATTTCTAAAAATATTAGATAGAAGATAATCCACAAGCATGAGAAATGGAAAATCAAAGGAAAAAAAGTGGAAAAAAAGGGGTTTCCAAAACTGGAGTTCAAAAATTGATTAAAAGTTAAAGGGAAAAAACGAGACTCCTAACAACTATGGAAGACCTGGCAGACCACCAAAACAGACACAATCAGATAAACAGACCTTAAGGCTTTCATCTTTGACAGAGAGGAGAAAATCAAGCTCCGCTCTTGCTTCAGATCTGAAAAACTCCACAGGTGTTTCTGTCCATCCTTCCACTGTGAGAAGAAAACTCAACACTATGAGTTTGAAATGATGTGTAGCTGTCAAGAAGCCCTCACTGAGAAAAGGCATTTAAAAAACTGATCAAAGAAGCTGCTGGTGTTCTCAGAACAATGCACTGATCACCCCAGAGTCCAGACGTCAACATCACTGAATGTGTTTGAAATTCTTGGATCGTGAGAAACAGAAAATGCAACCAACTTCTAAGACTGAACTTTGGAGGGGTGGAAAAACATTCCCTGTAGATTTCTTTGAAAAAAATGAAAGCAAGTCGGTTGAAAAGAATGGCAGGTGTAATAAAGGCCAACGGTGGACATTAAAGATACAGGGTCTATACACTAAACAGTGGAATGCCAGGACTTTTCTATGACTTTTCCATAACAGAAAATAAATTTCCATGTCAAACATTTGGCACAGTGCTGGGCAATGGTGAGCTTGGTGAGCGCCAAGGTACAATTCAAAGGTGCACGACCGTGCCGCGACAGCACCGTTGCGCCACTTGCAATGCTTCAGTTATAAACCTAGCTTGACTCACAGGGAAGAAGCGAGTCAACTAGGTTGGTGTGAGAAGCAGCAGAGGTGTGTTTTCCTCTTACATTTAAGTTGTTAATTTAAATCTCCAGTATTAAAATGTCAAAATATCTTCCAAAGCCCACATGTCCTGAATGCTAGCCGAGCTTCATGTTACCAGCACATTAATAAAGCTAGTCCACATGAAGATACATTAGCCTCGGCTCTCTGTGCTTTTTGTGATATGGACTCTTCAGTGCTTCAAATGTCATGAGATGACGAACAGCATGGGGGAAAAGTCCAGGACATTCCTTGATTTTTCTAGCACTTATTTATTTTTTTTTATTTTCAAGGCCTGGAAAACCAAATTTATATATTCCGTGACTTTTTCAGGATTTTCATGACCAAAATACTGAAAAAAATGTAATTGTTGAGGTTTCTGTGTCATTTTCTGCTTTTATTCCTTACACTGGAAAATTAATAACTTGTACTTAATGGCTGGTTTGACTGGAAATCAAGTTTAGAGTGGTCTCTTTGGACAGTACTGTGTACCTCTCAATGCACATTAGAACCACTGACAGAGGTGTAAAATTCAGGTCCAGAAAGTAAAAATCCTTCCCAGGATTTTGTTTTATTGGCCGGGCTTCTCTAGTTAGATCTAGAGATGAAATGATATTAAAATTTCATATCACGATTATCATGACCAAAATTATCACGGTTATCGGTATTATCGCGATATTGTTCAAACGTGTTGAAAAGTTAAATAAATAAATAAATAAATAAATAAATACTGAATCCCAAAACTGAAACTTGTTTCACCAACTTTTATATTAACACAAATAGAACTGGCAACAATATGCACTTTTTTGTTTGAATAAACATTAAAAAAATATAGTCAATGCATTTGTAGTATTACTTTTGTATTACTTACAATACTTGTAATACCCTGTAAACAAAAGAATAGCAAATGTATTATTATTATTACTGTTATTACTATTGTTATTATTATGAGGTGGGTCTTAATGGAAAATGACTACTTCTAAAAAGTGCTGCACTCGGGGGATCTCTGTCCTAACTGCAACTGCAGCATTATTGTGCCGTTGTGGCGCTGAACCCCTAATCAATCCATTGCACTAAAAAAAACAGTCAAAATCACAGAGGAATTGCGTGACCGTGCTGTGAGCTGCAGACAGTGTAGAACTCACACAGCATGTCTTCACCTGTGGAGCTGCTTCTTTAAAAGCATTTAAAACTAAAACATAACTTAAAATTAACGCGCATCTGAGCTGCGGCAGAAACACTCCTAAAGTTTAATCTCTGAAACTCTGCTTTTCCTAAAAGCAGCACGCAGCGTTTACTCGCGCGAGGTCCCGTCTCAAAGCACACTATCTTCCCTATGTAGTGCACTTCGTGGATCATGAAATAGCAAATCCTTCACCCAAAGAGTGCAGGAAATGTTCACAATAACAATACATTAACAATAGGTTACAAATTCCCTATTTAAAACTCAACTGCTTGTTAATGATGATCGTGTTTGTTTGAACAGTAGCGCACTATGTAGGGGACATTGAGTGATTTGAGACGGTGTTATTCTCAGACAGTAAACACCGCAAGCGAGACGAGAAAGGGGAGCTGTGCAGATTGAACCTCTGCAGCGTCTCGTTCCGGAGCTTGTGTGAGTTAACTCAGAGCTCATTTTGGAGACACTGCTCCACAGAAATGTGTTAAAAGCTTTAGTTTCGATTCACAGTTGATTCACCAATTGTTTTTTTTTTTTTTTTGGACACTAAAAGCTTAATTTTATATTATTAACGAACCATAAACACAAGTTAAACCACACAAACCATGACATCTCTTCTATTTCAAAGTCCCCACGGACTTCTGCGTTAAAGTTAACCTTGCATTCTCTAAAGTAGCGGGTGGTGGTCGCGAAGATGACTCATAAGGTTGGATGTGTTGCCCCCTTTCGCCGCTATTTTCTTTCAGTCTGTTCTGCAGACAGGGTGGTCATCTGCAGACAGGGTGGTCATCTTCAATTAACTTTCCTTCTGCATCCTTATAAAACCCAAAACATGACAAAACGTCAGACTTGGTCTTCTTAGAAGGCTAAAATATCTCCGAATCTCTGTCACTACATTGCGCCATATTCTCCCCTCTCTCCCTCTCCCTCTCTCTCTCTCTCTCTCCCCCCCTTCCCCTCTACACACACACACACACACACACACACAGCGCTGCATCTGAGAGAATGATTCTGCCTTTGTTTGACTCTGTACAGCGAGTTTTTCACACCGCAGTAATCGACCACGGTTTTAACGATACTTTAAAGTTCAAACGGTACTACGAACCGTCATTAATTCTACCGCGGTTTACCGTGAAACCGGTAACCGTTTCATCTCTATTTAGATCAAACCACCAGCAGAGCTGTCCAGGCAGTTGGAACAAAATCCTGGGAAGGATTTTTACTTTCTGGACCTGAATTCTGACCACTGATATAGAAGTATGCCACAGCCAACTTACACAAAACAGAATGGTGCCACATTGCATTTAAACCAAGTCACCATAAAGTTTTGCACCTCTATGGTTTTGTATCACGGCATTCAACACAACAATATTTTATATCAAGCCTAATCATGAGTCATCTGAAACTAGCACTAGGGCACTGCAGGAGGCCTTGTGTATAAGCCTTATAGGTCAACAGGTTAGGACCTTAAAACAGACATCTTAGACGCTAAGCTGTTTTGTAGTGCAGATAAGCCAGAGTTATCACTGGCTCTCCTCTATTCTTAAGCTTGCTTTTGTAATCAGGGAGACTTACTTGGGTGCTGGCAGGATGAAGCCAAGGGTGCGGTACAGGATCGCTCCGATGACAAAGTAAGACGCCTCATCTGATTCTGCAAATGGGACATGAGCAACATGGACAGCGTTAAAAGCAGCTCAGCAGACTACCAAAAGGCCCATTACTGTAAGTCACAGAGCATTATGCAAAGTGCTTGCTGAAACACAACCAAGTAGCATACAAAGTAGCACCTAAAGTTAGATTACTTTAACAGACTCACCCATCCGAGCACATACACACATCCAATTCCACTGATTTGAAAGCGGATACGAGGGGATGCCGCCCCCACAGTCAAAAGAAAAACAACAAAAATTATCCCTCTTGTAAAACCATTATTTCCTCTTTATATCCCCTTTGGAAGAATGTCACAATGCACACTGACAGGGACAACATTTTATATTTTTCCTTGTTTTTTAGGCATTAAAAATATTCAGAATTCATTTTTATATGACTCCTTTTCAACTACTCTTAAATTAAACAGGTTGCCTTTGTAACTGCCCCTTAAAAGGGCCCATGTTGTGGAAAACTAAATTTTGCTCGATGTATGTTTAAAGAAAAGAGCTTGATTTTCTATGTAAACATTGTTAGTTTCAAAATGTAGTCACTCCTCAGTCCATACAGTCCATATATGTGAAAAAAAAAATCTGTCATTTGCACATAACCACTTATTTGGCCTACAGCAGTTTAGCCCTGCACATTCACATAGAAGTTATTAAGAGTTCCAACCCGTCCTGCTTTTTGAATGGGGCATAATATAAGGTAGCCAATCAGAACAGCAATCATTTACATACATCATTCTTAAAGGCACAGTAACAAAAACAGCCTGTTTAATTCTAAGGGATAAGGAGAGGTTGGAAAATGGCCATGTAAAAATGAATTGTGTCTGTTTCTGGTGCATAAACTAAAAAAAAAAAATTATAAGTGGACCTCAGGGAAGGCCAGCTCTGTTGTGATTGGCTGCCGTGTCTTGTGCTTCATTCATAAAGCAGTGAAAGATCCTTATAACTTCAGCATAAATGGACAGGGCTAAACTGCTGTAGGCTGGACAAGTGTGTGTATATATATATGTAAATGTGTTAGTTTGTGTGACATCACAAAAAAACCACAACTTCAAAACAGGCTGTTTTTGCAGCTCAGTGTTCACATATGGACTGTACAGGCTGGGAAGTGAATGAAACTTTATCAATTAATTTAAAAAATTTCCATTAAATTGGCCCTTTAAGATGTCCTACTTCACCTGTCTCCCACCCCTCTGGGTCATTTGAACTCACTAGCTTCCTTGATTTTTTTATTTACAATTTGAACACTGCACACATCCCTGGTTATCCAACAAAAAAATCATCACAGCAGCAACTGTGTCAGCTTTTTAAGACTCAGGTTGACATTCAGGTTCCTTCATCTGGTTTTAATACAGACGGACAAAGAGCAACACGTAAAGTACAGCAGAGCAGGCCTTAAAAAGTCGTCTGACAGAAGGACTTTGAGTCAGTCTGGACAAAGAGTGACATTTCGAAGTGAGGCGGAGAGAGTGAAGTGACCCAGCCGTCTGAATCTCTAGCCGTCTGTCCACCCCTCCCCACACACCCCTCTGTCCCTACCTCTTTTCAACTCTCTGCCTACATCACTCACTTCTGTACTTCTTCCATCTTTTTTGTTTTGTTCTCTCCATCACAGGACACACTTTCTTCCTCATGCACCTCTTCACATCTTTGTTCGCTTGCATGGGGCTGTTTTCTCTCCACATGCCTTTCTTCCTCATCCCTGCTTTTTCTCCCGCCAGTCCCTTCTTCTCTGCAGCCGTGCTGGGCTCTCAGCTGGAGCTGTGTCTTTAGGTAAATGCAATCACACTGGACGGAAGGAAGTGGTATAGATGGCACAAATGGGGTGGCGGTGAACTAGATAAGAGAAGGATGGAGGAATAGAGGAGGCACAACAGCCATTTAACCATGGCGCTGTCCCAGCTGGCACACATGTAGTCTTGTGGTCCTTATTTGTGCATACCCATGAGGAACGTGGGGCCATAGGATGTCCATTTGTTCTTCTAGTGTTCAAAAGTGTGCTGACACCTTATATGCAGCCTTAGTGCGTCCTTTGTTGAAGCCTATGTAAAGCTGCAACTACCTTTCGACCCAGACTATTGCCAAGATTTCTTTACTGGAACCTCTTTTGTCTTTAATGCAACATACAGTCCAGTAATATTGTCATGAGGTCCTAAATGGTGCCCAAAGCCCGGCAGTCCTCCTCCAAGTCATCATTTTTGGCAAACATGGCAAAGAACAAAACTCAGGCAGCTGTGTCTGATCCACCCATACCAGTGCGACATGCACTAACACGCCACCACCACGTCAGTGTCACTGCTGTGCTGAGAATGATCCAACACTCAAACAATACCAGCTCTGTGATGGTCCTGTAGGGGTCCTGACCATTGAAGAACAGGGTGAAAGGGAAGTTACCAAAGTATGCTGAGAAACAGATGGACTGTAGCATGTTACTGTCATTCTTTAACAACAAAGTTCACCTATATGGTAAATGGAGCTGATAAAATGGACAATAAGTGTAAACACAAGGTAGGTATAGTTAGGCAGACCGAGTGCAACTGAGGACACTATACATCCCTATACGTCTGTTGACGTCACTAAAGTCGGACTTGGAGGGGGACCGCAGAGCTTAGGGCCCTATGGTACTATTAGTGGTTAGTATGCTGCATTACAGATGAAGTGTAACAGTATCCTACACTACAGCTTGGGGTCAAATAGAAACTAGTATATTACTGCTGTCAGAAACCGAAGTCTATTGCTGTTGTTGGAAGAGAACCGTATCTCCATTTTTGTTGTTTCTCAGTTTTTAACACAATTTGAAAATGCCTGTTGCCCTTCACATTGTGTGCAAATTTCACGATGAAAGGACCAAAAGAACTGGTCCAGAATTACTTGGAAAAAAGTCTAGTTTCATTGGCTTACATTAAAAGTAAAGTATGTTTTTTCCTTCTCCTGTAAAGTTATCATTTTGGAGATACGAGGTTTTGTTCCGACAACAGTGATAATCAGTGTGTTCAGGTTTATGCATACACTGGTAAGTTAATGCATTCAGTATATGAAGGGTTTCACTGCAAAATGCAAAATAAACCAGTTTCAAAACGTTTCATTTTCATGACATACATTGTTGGGTGTGGGCTTTCCACATATAAGAAACATCAATGACATGTTGTGATTAACACTACCTTGATTGAAGAAATGATAAGTGGCATAGCAGTTCAATGTACTCTGTTTATCATAAACAAATCAACTGCCTAATAAGATTTTAAGGTCAAAGTCAAAATGTACTTTTTCCATGTTAGTTCATATGTGTGGTCTTAGTTAGCACAATTTAAAAGACAACATTTTTGTTCTTCCACAATCGTTTGACCCCCCTAAAAAAGTTTTGATTACATTACCATGTACCAGCAGGCAGGGAAAAATAACATTAGCACGATATCGGTTTCTTACCGTCACCCCCTCCGACCAAACCAACCCATCATCAAGCGGAAACACTCACCTCATACTTTGATTTACTCAGAAACATGTCACAGTATGGAAGAAAAACGTCCAATTCATGTTGACTGTAATCACAGTAAATTTGATCGTGTCACTAGTAGAAATAAAGATACGTTCTGAGACATCTTTCAGTGGACTGCACTAAAACGGTCAGTCCACTCAACGTTCCATTTTAATTTTGTGGAAAAATTGCATAAATCTCACAGCGGTTGTTGTCCCTACAATAAGACTATGAAATTCTCATTTGTAATTATTGAGTCTGAATCAAACATGAGAAAAAAAACACCACACATGCTGACAGAACCAAATAGGAGCACTGATTGAACTGCAGTGTTGTCTCAGCACAGCAGGACTATTAAAAAAACAAATACAAGTAATCAGCGAGCTGAGGGCCAAGTGATTCAATATTAAAGAGCAATGGCTTTCGTGCTATTCGTGTTGTTTGTCTGAGTCGTTGCTTTTAACACTCAGAGGCCATGGTGAGTGAACAGAGGTGTTTCTCTCAACTAACAAAAAGGGAGCAAGGCATTCTACAGAAGAACCTTAGACAACAGTGAAGGCTCTCTGAGGGTACAGCAAGGCCAGAGTCAATCAAACGCCAATCATTTGGAACACAAGTTTGGCTGCTTGTTAACCCGACCACATTAAAAGATAACAATCGCAGTCCAGGTCTTGACAAGTCCTGAATGGAGACTCACCAATCCACTCCTTTCATTTTCACTGCCTTCACTTTAACAAAGCCAGCGTCGACAAGAAGAGGCTGCTCAGACAAAGTTCTCTGCTGTCCTACAGAATACACAGAGCATCAACAAAGTGTCGGACAAGGGGGTATCTTATCGCCCGCAGCAGGGGGTGGGGAAGAGTGTGTTTACACAAGGAGCCGGTTTCTTATTATCTGTCAGGGCGGCTGGATGTAATGGTTCAGTCTGGAGTGGGAGGAGCTGTCTGCGACTGAGACGGCGGACTGGAATAGTAACCATTTCCTCTATCTCCGTCTGTTTTTCTCTCCGTGTCATCTGGGCTTCTCTTTAGCCTTCAGTCTGCCTCTTCAAACGCCCCTCGCTCTAACTGGGTCTTATCTTTCTCTCTGGCAGTATGTGCAACCTCTTCTGCCTTAATTTCCTCCTCCAGGACCTGAAGGACTGAGCATCTTCCCCATCATCTGAACCCCAGGCTCCTTTTCACCCCCCCGCCCCCCCTCCTTCCTCTCTCTCTCAAACTCCCGCACTCCATCTCTCTTTTCTCCTGTGCCCTCGTTCTCCAAAACACAATCGATTTTCCTCCTCAGACCTCGGGGTGATTGAGGTGCTCGCAGCTTGAAGAGAGAGACGGTGAGAAACTAGAGAAAGAGAGATTGTGAGCTAGAGATAGGCCGACGGACAGATGGAGAGAGCGAAAGAGAAATGTGGAGAAGCCAAAATGGATGGAACAGAGGAAGAGGAGCTGAGTAATAACTCCAACAAGGATTACACCTATGGAGCTGATGCCTCGCTCAGATCAAACCAGCTGAAAGGAGAGTAAGTGTGGAACATGTTTCTGATACCTGCCGTTTGAGGCCCGGTCAGTGTTTAGCACTGTTTGTCCACACTGCATCCATTTTTCTGCAGACTGCAGTAGGTAGAAATGATATACTGCACCACTCTGGCAAACAGAAAGGCCAGATATCCCCCCACTCACCATCAGAGGACAGAGTGAAGATCTCCTTGGGGATGAAGAGTTTGTCCTCCGCCGACCGCGCCCAGTCCTTCATCCCCCGCCTTCCCTTCATAGGGAAGTTGATGTCGCTGGAGACGGCCGACACCGGCTCACGCTGGATAGTGATAACTGATACAGAGAAAGAGAAACATAACTAAGTGACCTATACATAACCTGGACTTGTCATATCAATAATTACTGTCATTGTATCCATTAATGATTTCTACAGTGATTGAGACTGTAACTTATCTTATTAAGAGTTATCTTATTAAGAGTATCTGTAGATGGTTTTCTCAATGTTTCCTTTTTTGGGACCAGCAAAAAGATATTCAGTGATAAATAATATACGGTAAATATTTACAGTCCATTTTTTTTTCATACCTGCCTCAAGATGCAATCATCCCTTTTTGAAATATGAGGCATTCTGGATGCTAATTTTATTATAACCTCATTCTCAATATTGTGGAGCTTTCCAAAAGGTGTGAAATCACCTACAGCTCTGCTCATCATTTTCATTACAAAATGCTCTATATCTATTTGTAGCAATTCCAGATATAACCATTATTTACTAAGAATAATGGTAACATATTATTTGAGTGGTCCTTTGTGGATAATTAATAAACTCTTAACAGAGTATCAGTAACACATCAACATCATATCAGTGAATTATCAGTAGTGAAGTATCTGAATACACTGAAGTAAATATCTTGTAGATGTTCTGTTGATACATTACTTACATTAAGTAGATGTGTTGTTAATATGTTACTTTCATCGCGCAAAACCTAACCTTACCCAAACTTACCCAACACCTAACCCTCACCCTGGCCCTAATCCTAACCCTCATATGTTTTTGACATGTTACTGAGAGTCCATTGAGTGTTTTTTTCATCTAAAAAGGACCATCAAAATAAAGTGTTACCAGAAAAACAGCTAATGTATAGTAGAAATTATTCATCTAATAAAGATGGTAATAATCATAATATAGCCCCTTCTCATTGACATATATCATGATAAAAAACATTTTAAAGTGTTCTACAATGCATGTTTGAACGCTTCCATATTTTTAGTGGCACTCTAAAAATTATTTGAAATTGTTTTTGAATTGTACTAGCATCATACTGAGTAAGTACTGAAAATAATGTGCATGTGAGGCTATGTGAGCACTAGGTATACAGACTTTTTCACCATTATTATTATTACAAGCATTATTAAGCATTCCATTCACTGATTTGGAAAAACTTTCTTTCTTTCTAATTTTTCTTTCTATTTTTTTTCTGCTTCTTGGTCATAAAAATCTGGAAATATTAAATTAATCATCTAAATATACCTTTTGCATGATAGTAAAATAGTAAGTAGTGTAGTAAATCTACACTATATATGTTTTTAGTGTACTGATTCATTGTACTGCTTATTTATTGTATTGTTTGTTTCATAGTAGTTAATAATTTAAAGTAGTTAATAGGTATTGAGATTAATAACAGAAAAATAGGCAGTTGAAGCAGTTAACCGCAATTCATGCAAATTATGCCATTTTGGATTTGAATCATTATCTGTGCGTGAGAGAGAGAGAGAGAGAGAGAGAGAGAGAGAAAGAGAGAGAGATGCAGCTATAAAGTCAGATAGCTAGTTGATAGTGAACATTAACAGGATCAAAGTTCCTCTGATACAACATGAACATCTTTCAGACATAAAATAAGAAGTCTCAATTCAGTCCAACTCTCATCTCCATCTTCATTTCTAGCACGTTTTTGATTTCTAACAGCACTCACTGAGGTTAGTGGTGACGACCAGAAAACTCTGGAAAGGCTTCTGAGCCTCCCCGATGTGATGGATGAAGTCTTCTACGACTCGCATTAGCAGCACTGCACCTGGAGAGACCTGAGGAAAACCAGACCATTTAAGAAGCAATAGAAGAAATAAAATGAACAAACGGTAAAAATGAGCAAATGACTAACTTAGTATGCTGTTCATACAGTCACTATAAATTGGTTGTTGTTTATAGACTGTCTGTAATACATGATCTATCAACACTCCCACAAGAACGTTCTTTCACAGTAACTCGTGCAAAGCTGGACAGAATTTTTAGAATTTAGACATCAAGTTCTCTCCCATCACATGATGCTACCAAGCTAGAAGATGAAGGCTAGTATGTGCCTCTTCTGAGAGACATGAAACACCACCACATTTTTTGTTGTTGGTTCTGCATTGTGTTCAACATGCTTGGAGGAGAACAGTACCTGCCAATTCTGTCACTTCAGCTAAGAGATGCCCACAATGGCTAACATCATAGTAAGTGAAGGTGGAAGAGGGAGGGCCATCCTTCCAACCCAGAGAGTGCGAGGTCTATTATGCTCTCTTGGGCTTGTGGCCATAGATGGCTATTGTTGGGGATCAAGCTCACAAACTCCCCTGACGACAGGGCCAATGCTTAGACTGTTGCACCGCTTGGGAACATGGATTTTTTGTTTGTAATCAAGCAAACGCATTGTCACAAAATTGTTGCCTGCCCAGTTTTGATTATCTACAGAAACATTGTCCAGCTTGGCAGCACAGAATTTTAAACTGGAAACTCAATGTTATGTAGCAAATTTAACTCCACCCTAAATGCATCAGGTCAAATAGGAATTCTGCCAATGTGTAAAGCAGTGGTCTTCCACTCTGATCCTGCAGAGCATAGTTCCAACCATAATTTGCCACACCAGCTCCAGCTAATCAACCTCCTCCTTGCCACCGATTGGCTGGATTAGATGTATTAGGGGGTAAGTAAGTAGCGGGGCAGCTTACTGGATACAAGTTGGAACTACAATCTTCAGGAAGGAACCTCTCCAGGACCAGGGCTGGAGACCACTGGCGTAAAGCTTGTCGCTACCGAAGAACACATTTGTGGGCGAAGTATAAATCTGTGAATTACATTTGTAATGATAAATGAAGTCATTCAGTCCTCTAGAAATACTCCAAAAATGTATTATGCCAACTTTTATCACAATAACGATATCACGAAGGAAAATAAATTCCTGTGTTTTTCCCGTCACTCTAAGGCTCTGGTGAAGGCCAACACCTACAACCTCTCAAGCAGACACATAGAAATTCTAAATACTAAACCTCAGTCACATATTAAAACCATATTAAAACCATCAGTTCTTTGAAACAGCACCATGACTTTAATATCAATGCACGCTACTTAGCGGAGCTGGTACGTGCCCATGACTCAGAGACGCGGCTTATAGAAAACAGAGAGAAACATTCAGCGTGAGCCATTCTCCAGCGCTCCCACGCTTGATCTTTACAACGCCGTCTTTATAGATTGTTGTGAGGTTTTAATTCTCACAGCCTTTGTTCTGAGGGGGAAGCGTGTCACAGCCACATTTCTTGATGATGTTCATGAGGCTAAGGAGTCCATTCTTCAATCTAATTGGAATTTCGCCTTTTCTCCGCATGTGTGCAAATGAAGGAATTTATGAATGTCTGAGCGAGTGTCTCGCTGCTCTGCTATAGGGCACACGTGTGTGTCTGTGAGGGGAGGGGACAGAGTGCAACAACAGCAGCATTTGTTACCTTTTTTCTGGCCCAACTTTTTTTTTTTTGCACCAATTAAATCCAATTTAATATGCAGCAGATGGTGGTTTATATGGAGCCAAATAAGAAATGGAGTAGATTGCCTGCTCTGTTTGTTTGTAATGAATAACTGAAGCACTAACACACTTCCTTATATTCTGAATCGGGGCTTGTTTTCTGCTCTCCTGCAGGGAACAGATCTCATTTACTTTAGTTTTGGAGCTCTTTGACGTGTGTAATATTGGGGCTTTGTCGGCTGTTTGCTCTGTTCCTGGCACCATGAGCGAGTCTTTACTAACTGTGTAAGAATAAATTGTCAACACAGAGCTATTTCTCTTTCTCTGTATCTTTTCTGTTTTTTTTATTGATGTCTTTTTAACCGATTCATGTCCAGCAAGTAATCAATGGCTGAGATGTAAACAAAGTCATTCAGAGTGGTCTGATGTGAAACGTTCTGTAGAGAAACTTACAGACTCTGATTTCTTTACAGTGGTGGTGATAGGAACCATGGATCGCAATGTGTATGATGCCATTATAGCCATTATGTTTACTATCCAAAGCATGTAGTAAACCTACATGTGTCGTCTGAGTTTTTATACACAATATTGATCATTTATCTCAACACAATCACAGAACGTGTCTCAGGCATCAGACAATGTGTAATAACTTTCGTGATATAGCTTTAGAGGTACTAAATCAGACATTTAGTTACTCTCACCACTACTGTAAACAATACTGACTGTGCAAGTTTCTCTATAATACAATATTTAACATCAAACAACTCTGAATGACTTTGTTAATGTCTTAGTTATTTAATTGTGCAGATTTATTAAGATAAATGAATTAATAAAATCTCACTTTTCAGCCATATTTTTTGATAGATGTGAAGAGTTTTTTCAGATTTGTGATCAAGCAACACGTAGACCACAGAACATTTAAATCTTTAGATACGGTTGTATGTAAAATTTTGAGCACCCTTAATAACATTCTCTAAAGAGGACACAGCTCTGCACATTTTAATGCATAATTACAGTTTTGGAATATATATTCCTAATATGTTTCTATCCGAATATGAAATTGTGCTCTACAAATTAAGTGTGTTCTCTGTAAAGGATGTGTTGCACACTCAGGGTGTGCAAACTTTTGTATACAGCTGTATGGACATCAATGGGTTTCTTTTTAGGGGACAACAGCAAGCAAATTTTGTGGTGTAAAAATTAAAAAAAAAATAATGAAAGCTCTTTTCTTTTCTTGGCTTATTTGCATACACATTGTTGCCCGTGGGGCATCTGCTCTAGTCTTAGTAGGTCACATTGTTAGTCCAGTTAGGAAATGTCCAGATGGTGTGGAAACGCAACATTACTGAAGGGCACTGCTGTTGACTCAATTGCATTGTTCAAACATATACACACAAAAAATGACAACATACACACACACACACACACATACCCACACACACACACTGTTTAAGGTGGAGTCTGTGTTCATGACTGCGAGGGAACAGGTGTTATTTTATGAGTGTGTAATAATGATGAAAACATTATGTCATTAGAATCAGTGAACCATGGCAGCATTAACACACTCACTCTGAATAAAAATAGCATTAGCACATCACGGTTACCCTCACACTCTTCACCACACACAGCTCTTATGCATTATATAGACAAAAATATTGGGACACACCTCCTAATTTTGAGATTTCTCATTGCTAACAGGTGGATAAAATTAAGCACATAGCTTTGCGATCTCCATAGACACACACGACAGTAGAATGGTTCATACTGAAGAGCTCAGTGACTAAGTCAGTCTGTGAAATTTCTCTCCTACTAGATCTGTCCCTGTCAACTGTAAGTGCTTTTATTGTGAAATGAATTGCTCCTAATAACAGCTTAGCCATGAAGCAGTAGACCATGCAAACTCTGAGTCTATCCTCTGTTGAATCACTCACTAAAGAGTTCCAAACTTCCTACTGATGCGCAAAGAACTGTGCATCAGGAGCTTCATCATGTGGAGCGATGAATCATGCTTCTCTATCTGGCAGTCTGATGGACGAGTCTGGGTTTGGCGAATGCCAGGAGAATGTTACCTGCCTTACTGCATTGTGCCAACTGTAAAGTTTGGTAGAGGAGGGATAATGCTACGGGGCTGGCCTAGGCCCCTTAGTTCCAGTGAAGGGAGATCTTAACGCTTCAGCAGACCAAGACATTTTGGACAATTGTATGCTTCCAACTTTGTAGTTTGGAGAAGACCCTTTTCTGTTCCAGCATGACTGAGTCCCAGTGCGGGAAGCAAGGTCCATACAAGCATGGCTGGGGAAGAACTTGACTTGCCTGCACAGAGCCCTGACCTCAACCCCATTATTTCATCTCCATTCTAGTTCATCTTTGAGATGAATTAGAATGGAGATTGAGAGCCAGGCCCTCTCGTCCAACATCAGTGTCTGACCTCACAAATGCTCTTCTGGATGAATGAGCAAAAACTGCCACAGACACACTTCAAAATCTTGTAGAAAGCTTCTCAGAAAAGTGGAATATATATAGGAGTGACCAACTCCATATTAATGCCTATGGATTTAGAATGGGATGTCATAAAAGCTCCTATAGGTATGATGTGTAGGTGTCCCAATACTTTTGTCCATATAGTGTATATTTCAACAAAAACCGTGACTAGAGCCAACATTCCCTCTCTGACTGTGCAAATAGCATGATGATTTCTCACCCATACTGTTTTATTCGACGTCCTCTCATTTTCTCTCTGTATCGCTCTCATCCTCTCTGTCTGTTACTTTCTCTCTCTCTCTCTCTCTCTGTATCTAGCTATCTCTTCTTGGCCTCTCTTTCTGTTTGTCTCTTTTTTACCTCTCTATATCTTGTTCCAACCCATTCTCTGTCTTGTTCCCTCTCTCTGTCTGACTCTTTCTCTCTCTCTCCCCTGTCTACTTATCTATTCTCAGCCTCTTTCACTTTGCCACATTCTTCATATCTATCTTGTCCCCCCCCTCTTGCTCTTTCTCTCTATCTCTCTCCATTTACCTCTTTCTTCTCTCTCCTTCTTTTTCTTTCCTTCATTTGTTTCATTCTTTCTTTCTCTCTCTCACTATGACTTTCTCTTTTTTGTCTTTTTTGTCTCTCCTTCTTTTCTTTCTTTCCTTCTTTCTTTCTCTCTCTCTCTCTCTCTCTCTCTCTCTAATTCACCTTGCTTTACTGGCATGAGTTGTAATTGACAACTGTTGCCAAAGCAATGAATGGAATGCTTACATATGTGAAGAGTTCCCTCGTTTCATGTACATCAACTGGTCACTTCATTATTCTACACTTGTATCTATGCTCACTGTTCATTTAATCAGCTAGACTCACTGGTGGTGTGTTAGTGTGTGTTTGTCTGATCTGAGTGGATCAGGCACAGCAGTGCTGCTGGAGTTTTTAAACACCTCCGTGTCTCTGCTTGACTGAGAAGAGTCCACCAACCAAAAACAACCAGCCCACAGCAACCTATGGGCAGCGACCTGTGACCACTAATTAAAGACTAGAGGACGACCAACACGAACTGTGCAGCAACAGATGAGCTACTGTCTCTGACTTTACATCTACAAGGTGTATAAACATAGACATGTCTAATAAAGTAGTCAGTGTGTGGACACAGTGTTTAAAAACTGTGGATAAGTAGGTTAGGCTAAAAACTAGAAATTTAAAACTGGGCCATTGTTCCTCAAAGTGTCTCTCTGTTTTGTATCAGTGGGTTCTGCAAACAAAGGCTTGGTTTGGTTTGTGTGGATAACCCCGTCATAATTCAAGAGCTATTCAAACACTTTTGGATTTGGAGTACCAGAGTGTGTGCCACTTAGATAGCATGTGGACCAGATACTGGACAGCAAAGATGAATAATAGCATGTAAGTCACCAACAATGAAATAAAGTGAAGCAGGGAATCCAACTGGCCTTCAGAGTGACAGTTCTTTTTTTAATACAGCTCTTGAAAAGCCTTCAGTGCAATATTGCAATGTTGAAATATTACTACAATTTATATTGTAGTAATATTTCAACATTGCAATATTGCGCTGAAGGCTTTTCAAGAGCTATTTCAAGAGCTATTGATAACTGGAATAATGACAAAATAAAAATCAGTAGTGTATTTGACATAACTAAAGCAGCATGTATCAGCACCTAAACATCTCTTACAACATCTAAACATCTTTAGAACTGTTCTTTAAAAATGCTGCATTGCTTTTTCTGTATTTTTTCTGCAGTTTTTTATTTTCTAATTTCTATTAATGTCTATATATATATAGTTTGTTACAGCAGTGTAGGTGAAAAGGCAACCTATTCTTGTTAGCACCTTGTTCTTATTCTTCTCTGAGGTCTCAGATGTGCTGACACTGATTACATACAAATGGATGGTCAGCTCAAGTACAGTCACAAAGCTCTCTCTGAGTGTGAAAGTCACGTCTTTTCATGGCCACAGTTTCAACACCTGATGTACAATTAAGCCTAATTGAATCTGAAGCTCATGCTTCATTCTTAGAAGGCCAGACAGTAACCCAAACACAAGCTTGGCCTAATGGATCTGCCTTAGCTAGTGTGGCAGACTCGAATCTGCATATCCCACGCAGCACTCAGGCTCTGTGTATTAGATGTTAGCTTAATTAGCCCAATTATTAATCTGCACTTTGACAGTAGCAGTGACTCCAATAACCATCCACTGTCAAGAGGAAATTAAGGAACACTATAAAAGTAATGTCCAACAGGAGTGATGGAGTGTGCTTATGAGATAGATACATGTGTGGGTGTCTAAAAGGTTCAATAAGGAGTTGGACGTTACCTGGTGAGCATCTTCCCATTTCTCAAGGTTTTCCATGTCCAACATTAAGCTGACTATCTGGAAGAATTTCTGTGGAAGAGGAAAGCAGCAATGATGAGGAAAAAAAGAAAGTGGGCTCAAATTTGCATATAATTTGGTATTTGTCTGTGTGTTTGTGTATGAGAGTGCATGTGTGGTAGGGGTGTAATGATACACACATTTCATGTTATTTGTACTGTGGTTATCGCACAATACATTTTCAATAAAAACCAAATAATAATAATAATTTTTGCTCATCCCAATTGTCAAAACAAGAACAGAGCTCCTGGTGAAAGGATAATGAGTAATTTTCTTAGAAAACAAATAAAGTTCAGTGGAATATCATCTTTGGAATATCTTTGAAAATAGAATGTTCCTAAACACAACAAATGAAACCACTTCAGTTTATGATAGTAATATGTCTGATATCAAAAATATTTTGGTAACTCTTTACTGTACATCAGTATTCATAAGGCTACAAAATACCTATAGCAGTATGTAAAATATTGAATAATCCCAGTCAAAATCTTAAGTGACCAACAAAACTTGTAATTTGACCAGTGATGCCCAACAGCATTGTTTTACTGTAATATACACTAAGCAACAAACTCAGTTGCTATGATGACCTTATATTATTTCTCAAATAGGTGTTACGTCAACTTGGCATCAAAGTTGACAAAAGCAGACTTCATGACAAATGACGATTATTGGAATAAGCCTTTAGAAGTGTTTATGTAGGCTCATGTCAGTAGTGTTACCAAATGCGTATCATAAAATCTCTCTGTATTGAATATTATATATTAATATGCATATAGTAACACCCCATATGTGTGGAGAGTGTTTGCCTCTGTGTGTCTGCGTGTATGTGTGTGCATTCTGCACAGCCACCTGCACGTCGTCGGGAGCTGGGATGTAGGTTGCTCGCTTGAAGGTGTCCGTCACATTTCGGAGAATCTCCACGGAGAATAAGAGGTCACCGCTGTAATAGCTGCGACGGGACATTAACTCCAGGAGACTCCTCACGATCTGAGACATGCCCTCCCCTGCCAGGGTCCTCTGACCCTTCGCAAGATGCTCTCGTAACTGTCAGAGGAGAGGAGAGGCTGAATCCTTTTTTATACCACTCTATTAGTTTCAAGCGTTTCTTAGAAGTCAAGAGTTCTATCTTTTTCATTTAAAAAAAAATGTACACACAAAATGTACTTTTTATCAAATATCAAAAAATAATACATACATGAAAGTTAGGAATGGATTTCTAAGGGTTAAGAATTCCTCTCATTGCTTTGGTAACACATTATTAAATGCTGAGGGGCAATGGGACCCGTATGTAGTCCCACACTTCCTCACTCTCACAACTACATAACTTACACTCACCAGTGTTCAAAAGTTTGGAGTCATTTATGATTTATGCAATAGTGTTTGAATTTTGTAAACAAGGAATTATTTACTGATAAATAATAAAATGTGATTATCTGTTTATATTATTATTTTTTTTTTTTGCCCAAGGCCACAATCAGATATACCCAGTCAGTCCTAGGATTTGACCCTACAACTTTCCAGTAGCTGGAACACTCTCCTACCACTAGATTACCAGCCAATCTATTCTGTACACGTTTGCAACCAAACTTTTCCAAGGTTTCTAATCAAACTTTTTAACAATAGTTCCAAATTCCAAACTTTTGAACAGTGATTCCAAACTTCTGAACACAGATTTCAAACTTTTGAACACTGATTCCAAATTTTTAATCAGTGATTCCAAATTTTTGAACAGTGATTCCAAACTTTTAACACTGATTCCAAATTTTTAATCAGTGATTCCAAATGTTTGAACAGTGATTTCAAACATTGATTCTAAACTTTTGAACAGTGATTCCAATCTTTTGAACAGTGATTCCAAATTTTTAATCAGTGATTCCAAACTTTTGATCAGTGATTACAAATTTTTGAACAGTGATTCCAAACTTTTAACACTGATTCCAAATTTTTAATCAGTGATTACAAACTTTTGATCAGTGATTACAAATTTTTGAACAGTGATTCCAAACTTTTAACACTGATTCCAAATTTTTAATCAGTGATTCCAAATGTTTGAACAGCGATTTCAAACATTGATTCCCAACTTTTGAACATTATGCCTCGTTCATTTTCTTAAATATTTTCTCAAGAAAGGTCATAAGAAAAAGTCTACATCAGATTCATGACGTGTTCTTAAACTGCAGAACTGTTCGCATCTAGAGTGGCGCATAGATTCTGTTCTTACCTAAGAACGAATCAGAAATAAGAAAACAATGGTGAATGTCAGAATGTCATGTTTTTGAACAGTGATTCTAAACTTGTCAACATTAATTCCAAATTTCTTAACATCGATTCCAAAGTTTTCCAAATGTTTGAAAACTGATTTCATACTTTTGAACAGTGATTCCAAAGTTCTGAAAATGGACTCCAAACTTCTGAACAGCAATTCCAAACATTTGAACAGCTATTTCAAACTTCTGACAGTCACAATAATTACTGAATAATTCAACATAGTTACTCAATTATAAATCTTAAGGTGAGTGACAGATCAATAAACCTGTACTTGAAGAGGTTAAACACACACTCCCACACAGACAGACAGAAAATAAGCCCAATACTAATGACAAAATGACATTTAATGTCAGGTCAACAACAGAAGTAACAAAGCACACATTCATTCTTTGAGACTGCATCAAACTCATTGATCCGTGTTCAGAGCAAAGTGCATGTTGCTCACAGAATCGAAATCCACCATAACTGCCACCAATAAAGCAAACTGGACAAAACGAGGACAACTGTTTCCCTCATGACTGAGTGAGTGCTTGTTTATGGTCTAAAGAGAACAGAGCAGACTGACTGACTAATGACAGCATTGTGGGTCCAAGAGGCAGCAGACAATAGCAATCAGAACTAACTAAACATTGTCTGATTATAATGAGGGGTTAGTGAACAGGTTAACAGAACAATCAACCAAATCACATTGCACCCCAGTCAATTTCCTGAGCCTCTTGGCTACCTTCATTAGAGATATTATGCAATTATAGTATACACAAGGTCAAAGTTCAACAACTAGAAATTAAGGAGAGCACATAAGTGTTAAGTGTGTGCCAAGGGCCATGCAGAAAAGTCAAAGGGTGGATCAACTATAATGAAGCTCTGTATACACATTATATTACAGGAATGAATTCAAAACAGATTGAAGGGATTCCAAGATGTGTAAGTTATCATTGACTACATTTACATGCACACCAGTGGTTCAATATTAGTCTAACTAAAACTGCTAGCCTAAGCTATGGTCATGGAAACAACAGGGTTCAGTTGTATGGTCTAACTAATGACCTATGCCTAGTACATCTCTCATCTCTCATACTCATATAGATTTAATAGAAATGCAGTCTGGTGGATTTATCATGTTTGGTATCAGCAAACTAACTCATCACAAACTATTTTGGAGCTAAGTACGAGGCGAGGTTATGATGTAAGTAGGCTAGTAACATTAGTTAAGGCATTTATCTGTTTATTTAAAAGATTTTAGATTGAGTGCTTTTTTCTGTGAACATCTTAAGTCACAGTTCACCTACCATATATTTCTTTAGTTTTGTTCTGGGTTTAAATTAATGTGCTAATAACACAATGCTGAGTGGTGTGCTGTGGTGCTTGGGGACGCCGAGCAGTGCTAGAAGCTGTCAAGTGGCTGCACTGATGCTGAAAATTACGGTTTCAAATTTTTTTGGAGGCTCATCCAGTGTGCAGTGGGCCTTGACTTGCAAACAAAGTTTTGGACATTTTGTGGCTTTTTTCTGTAGCGCCTCATGTGATGACAGCTTTCTGACACCAAAACAAAAAGGAGTCACAAAAGGTGTTAAGGGTCTCTGGGGCGAGCAGTGCCAGTGCCAACATAAGCAGCTGCTTAGAGCCCCACAGCCGCCAGGGGGCCCCCTAACTGTTCTGATATTACTATTCCTTTCTGTTGTCTAAGATGTTTGAGTGAGAGGGAAAAGCAACTGTTAACCATGTCAAAAAAAAAGAAATCTGGAGCTGAAAAATGGAGAAAAGAAAGGGAAGATGCGGAAAAATGCTTAAAGATTGAGGTATCTTTTGTTGTGTTAATGTTAGGCCAATTATTTTGTAGTTGGACAACAAGAAGTAGTGAATCTTGGGTCTGTCTAACAAACCAGGTTCAACTTAGGCAGTTTTAGCTTTACTAACAGACGCCGTTAACAATGGTCGTTAACAACTTTCTCTGATAACCCAGGTTAAAATACTCAGATGTTAGACAGAGCTCTGGACTATGAATGCTGATGTTATCTGTAATTAACACTGTAACTTATTAGAACCCTATATGAGTATCCAATCATCAGCAGTACACAATTAGCCAGTTATAAATGTACAGAATTTGGACAGGTCATGGTGGTTATTGTTATTAGATAGCCTTGTTACAGCCTGTCTAGGTAGGTCACAATATAAAGGTGTTGTCTCAACATTCCTGTCTCCAGCCTGCCAGCCACCGAGCACTCACAGGCAAAAAATTCTATATTCTAAATGCTTTATATTATATGTTTATAAAGCTTAAGCTTCCAGGGAGGTCACAGTCAATATTAAAAACAAAAAAATCCACCCCACATAAAACTAACTTACCTAGACGTCCCTCATTTTAAACAATGAGGAAATTGACATCATTAGAAATTAAAATGGCAGGATAAAAAAGAATGTGGATATTTTTCAACAGAAAAATGATGAGTATACAAACTTAGCTGCGTCATAAAGTAGTTGTTCCACATTGTAAAGTCAGACTATGCTTGAGTGCATGTTAACATGACTATTACTACCTAGTCTTTTATACAACTCTAATAAAAGGCTTTCAGGCTATTGTGCGCTAAGCATATTTATGAAAAGTTATTGACACAGTCCAAACTGGATTTGATATGATTATAACCAGAAAGAAGAGGAAAAAAATGGCACTTACAGATAAATGTAAATATCTATACTCAAGTGAGATGCATCGGGCGAAGCTCGGAGGACCCCAGTAAGCAACTCCATTATTGTCCAGCAAACAACGACGACTAGCAGATCCTACAGAGAGAGAGAAAAGAAGACATGGTAGATGTTTCAATATTGTGGCTTAAGATGGTAAAAAAACAAAATGACCCCTTTTCACATTCAGTAATGTCTAGCCACGCTGAATAATAAGCGTGCTAGAGCTACAGCCCCTTTCTACTGATCCAAAAGTCCTTTTCTGCCTCTGGTTAACAACAGATAAGATCAAGAAAAAAAAAATCTCTTCAAAACATGCAAACCCTGCTGCAAAGCCCGTTTACTCACACTTGCATCATGCTGCCTCTATGCAATGGGCCATGACCGCACTATCACCCGTCTGCCCGTCTGCACTGGGCAGGACAGAGTCGCATTCCCTAATCCACAGGGAGACACTAGCAAAGTCTCATGGGAGGAAGCTATGTTAGCTTACCTGCCTGTAGGAATATTTTTGTCATTTTTTCCCCTTTTTTTGTCTTTTTGTTTTGTTTTTTGGCTTCTTTTCATGGAGGATACATTACACTCCAGCTTTGACCTCATTCACCACTGCATTCCACACTGAACACTTCAAAGGCATCATTTATTAGCCGTCTGTGTTTTTTTTATTAGGTATAAATCAATGAGAGCCCTGGGGCTGTTTCCAGCACGATATCTGAGATATATCATACGCAGCACTACGGAAACGTAAACACGCTTAAAAAAAAAAGAGTAATGTGTGCAGCTAGGTGCTGTAGGACAGCAGGGATTATGCCTTAGGCACTGGTACCCAAGTGTGTGAGCTCTTTGAATTTAAACCTTGACCCAAAGTCCACCTTTTGCAGGTAGTGACAAGAATTCAGTGCTCAATATCATATCAGAGCCTCCTTGGACTGTAACATGGCTGTAAGCCTGGTTTATAGTCATTATGCACTGGGCTGCTAAACAACACAGCATTGAGCTTCCACTCACGCATCTCTCTTCAATGGGGTCCAAAATGAATGTTCATTAAGCGTAGAGAAATCAACTTATTTTGACTGCAGTAGTGAGCTTGTTGCCTGTGGTTAAGTTTTTGGAAATGACTAATTGCATCTCTGATAGCATTTTATGGTCTGGTTTTACTGATCATAAAATCTTTTAATAAAGCCATTTTTCATGACTTGGAACTAGCACATCAGTTTTTTTTAGCACGGTGCAGTTCGGTTCCTGTCATTACTATAGCTCATTTATCTGTTGAGTGATTGTTGTGAACTTTTTTTTCTTTACTGTTTTCGAACAGTAGTCAGTGACACTTTAGTTGAACCCTACTACATAACACTGACATAACTATGTCATAAACATATCATTGCAGATGTCACACGTTGTCAAAACAGATCATTAAGCAAAAGAATACTAGAGGTAGTGTGTTGTCACAATAAACATCGCGGCTTTGATTCTGTTGCAGGCACGAGCCAAAGATAAGCGCTATGGATTATCACAGTTGTGATGATAACATACGACTGCAAGTGCTCTACTGCTTTTAAACAACAGCTCTGCAAAAAAGATAAAAACGTAAAGCAAAAGAGCCCTGAATGTTATAACAAATGTGCTTTAATATCAACAAATCCTTCTGCCAAAAAGTAATGTATTTTGCATTACGGACGTGCATGTTACGGTAAAATGGGATTTGTATTGGACATTTACCTTTCTCTCCTCAATTTCTCGTCAAATAAATGTCCAAAAATAATCAAACCTGCTTTTTTCTCACTTCTAAAAGGCAGAGCTACAAGCTACAACCAAATGTAGTTCAAAATGTCATTAACTTTCACTGAACATGTTTCAGAAGTACATATCACCCAAGCTTTAGTCATTAAAACCTGTCTAAAAACTGCAAAACTAGGTATTTAGACAAACTAAGTCAAAATCACATCAAACCACTTGTAGTAAAGTGGCTTTCCTTAACTGGAGTTTGTAGAAGGCTTAAAAGAAGCCACTCTCTTTACTACAAACAATTTAATGTGGTTTTGTCTAGTTTTAAGTCCATGTTATGCACTTGTCTAAGTCATAGATAGCTCCATGAAAATGTTACAATATCAGGTTCAGCTCAGCGTTTTCAATACTTCAGTATTTGCCAGATAGATCTGAACGCTGTCTTGCTCAAGTCAGTCTGTAAAGCATTTCAGAACACATCTTGTTTGCTGAATTGTATTCTGTTCATTTCTGGCTAATTCTAGTTTGTTTACTTGATCTGCCGTCACAGTAGAAAAGTACTTTGGTTATCAGTAAAGTTGTTGCTTATTAATTGGTGATCAGCAGAGAATTAACGGTAATAGTAAAATCGCGCTGTTATATTGCTGAACAAAATCTGTCATAACAGCTCATGACAAGTGGTTACCTTGGTAACAATATAATATTTATACCCCTTATATATAACAAGTTATATTAGCGCAGGCTCTGATGGTTTGTTTTTTCAGCGTCTCTGATGTGAACAGTGTACTCAGAAGCCTATCTGCGCATTGTGTCAAATCAAAGTGCACCACTTCATGGCATATTGCTTAATTAACTTTGATAAAATCTTTAGTAAGACTTTAATCCTCACGACTTTCTTTTCTGTCTAATGAGGATACTGTAACACTGGATAGTCTAATTATCACTTAGACAAAGAGAGAATTAGTGAGAATGAGCGCACTGGTAGTTAATGGAGAGGTGCTTAGTGTGTGTGTGTGTGTTTGTGTGTGTGTGCGGTGGCTCACCAGTGGCATTTGATGGACACTTGTTGTAGACAGTCTCTCCAGCTGAAGCTCTCTTCCATGTCATAGAGACCTGGTACTCATCTCTGCAGATCTCATGAGGTGCTGCACGAAAAATAGGCATCAGTGTGAGACAGCAGGACAGTGTTGTGTTCGCGTAGAGCTCTGCACAAGCATGAAACTGAAGCCTAAACCCAACCCATACTACCCCTGCTATCATAGCTCAAAAAAGTAATACACCTGAGCCTGACAAATTGGCCCAAACTGCCTCGCAATTCACCCCAAAGGTTACAGCTGTGTGCAAGCCAGTCAAGTTCTTCCACACCGAGGCATTTTTATTACAAATCTTGTTTTGTCATGCTGAAACAAGGAATAGTGCTCCACAAACTGTTGCTACAAAGATGTCTACAATGCCATTTCATGGACCATTATTCCACCTCCACCAAACTTTACACTTGGTACTATACATTCTGGCAGGTAGCATTCTCCTTTCATCCACCATATGAAGCCCAAACCTAACCCATACTACTCCCACTATCATAGCTCAAAAATGTAATAAACCCAAGCCTGACAATATGGCACGAACTGGCTCCTAGTTCACCTCAAAGGTAGGGGCTCTGTGCAGGCCAGTCAAGTTTTCCACACCAAGGCATTTCATTACAAATCTTGCTTTGTCATGCTGAAACAAGAGGGAGAACTCCAAAAACTGTTGCTACAAAATAATCTTAATAACATCATCTTACACTGTCACACTAAAATTTCCTTCCACTGGAACTTAGTGGCCCATGACAAGTTACATGGACCATTATTCTACCTCAACCAAACTTTACACTCAACACTGCATTCTGGCAGGTAGCATTCTCCTTTCATCCGCCATATCCAGGTGAATCCACCAAACTGCCCTATGGTGAAGCACAATTCACCACTCCACAGAATATATTTGCACTGCACCAGTGTTCAATGTCGGTGCATTACACTGCTCCACCTGACACTCAGCAATCTTAGGCTAGTAAGATGCTGAAATGTCATGGAAACCTACTAAATGGAGCTCCCAGCTAATAGCTCCTGTGCTAATGTTGCTTCCAGAGTTACATGTTTCATTTTTTTTTTTAATTTAAAGAGCAAAACTTTTTTTTTAGTCACTGAAGTTAAGGTTAGGTTTAGGTCATGTAAAGCAGGGGTGCCCAACCCTGGTCCAGGAGATCTACCACAATGCAGAGCTTAGCTCCAACTCTAATCTAAAGCCCCTGTTCCAGTTAATGAAGTCCTTTAGAGGCATTTAAACATTAGAGTCAGGTGTGTTGGATCTGCATTTTCTAGGGTGGTAGATCTCCAGAACCAGGACTGGGCACCTTTGATATAAAGAATAAGAACCTATGTCTTTATAAGGTATAAGAATAAGCATGTGCGTGTATTTGTATTGCTTCATAATAAAAAAAAAATGCAAGCAGATACATCCAAGACAGTTGTTTTGGAGCAAATCTAAAACCAAGGTGCATTCTCCACTCTGTTTCTTCCACTCAAAACATACTGCAGGCCACCTTTAGTCACCACATCAAACTGCATTTCTCCCTGTTTGTCTCCCATCAAAACAAGGCAAAAACAGTGCCTGTGAAAAGAGAGGGCAGGGATGAAAAAGTAGACAGACATCCATGAGAACCTCTCCTTTTTTCATCTAAATATATGCTTCCCGACAAAGTTATTGGACAGATCTTTGTCTTCAGGATCTCAGCACAGTGCTATCAAAGCCTCGCTCCTGATATAAGCTCTGCGGCAATGTCTGACATTTATTTAATCTATAGCCTCCCAAAGCTACAGTCAAAGACACGCTTATTAAAATCTGCTGTTTGCTGCACTGCCTGACACACTGACAAATCGCACGCAGCAGCGCTTTGAACAATTCGCCCGAGCCAAGGAGGACCTGCCTTTGCTGAAAGAGAGCGGAAACGAGGAAGAGGGAAAAACAGAGGAGAGTGACTGTCAAATGGAAAAAGAGAGAGAGAGAGAAAGAGGCCTACAGGTATACAGACAGACAGGCATAAGAAAAGGAAGGGGGCCCAGAGACGTAGAGAGCGAATGAGAGAAGGAGACAGAGAAAAAGAGTAAAGAAGAGATGCCTTAGGTAGACAGAGAGATGACAGAAAAAAAGGAAGATGCCTAGAGACAGCTGAGAGAAGAGAGAAAGGAGTGGCATAAAGAAAAGAAAGACACAATGACAGCACTTTGCGTAAAAGCTAAAAGAGTTGGCTATAATCCATGTAGACAATGCCTGAGCAACACATGCCTGAGCTTTATTATTGTACATCTGTTGAATTATTAAAGAAAATCATGTAATTACACATTTAACTCCAAAGTAATGTAATGAACTACTGTACATCCGGTATCAGATTCTAATCAGTGCTGTACTCTTTTTCTATTTGTCATCAAATGATGATAAAAATGTAGCAAAATCGTAAAACAAAAGAAAATATTCCATCAAATTTTAATCACAGTAAAGTATTTCCTTAAACCCAATGTGACCTTGATTCAAAGTTTAGGATTCACATTTTAACATACACACACAAACCCACCTGGGCATTTCTTGTCGTTGCAGGCACGCACCTCCTCCCCATCCCCATCGCAGGGGTAATCCTGGGCCCCTGTGCTCTCACACATGCGGAAGCGGCGCTGCCAGCCCGAGTCACATGTTTTAGAGCATAGACTCCAGTGATTCCATGCCCCCCAGTTACCCCCACCTGAGCCAAACAGAGCACTGAATAAGTGGAGGAGTGATTCCTCTGGTGCATCCAAACCATGTCTGTTCAAATCAACTTCAGGCTAATCACACTTCATTAGTACTATTTTCCACATTTTCACAGATAAACAACAAAAAAAAAAAAATCCTATAATATAATATAATATAATATAATATAATATATGCATAATATAATATGGACAGATGGATATGTAACTATTTCTGAATTTTCTTGCCTTTATTTATTTATTCATTCATTCATTCATATCTTTTATTACATTAGTTACAATAGGGCTATGAACGATTAACAGTTGTCAAAAAAACATACATTTTATCTCATTTACAATAAACAATCATTCTGATTTGAAATAGGTGGATGGAACATTCAAGTTGAACTGTATGCATGTTTGAGTCATACCCCCGCAAGACGGGTTAGTGCAGTCTCGCGTTTCTGCATGCGGACCCTTGCACTCGGCCCAGCCGTGCACAGAGACGCTGCAGCGCCGCTGCCTCTGCTGAGACCCCACACCACAGGATACAGAACACCGAGACCACGGAGACCAGTCCAACCACTGACCCTCCACTACAAAGAGAGGGAAAGAGACAGAGAGAGAGAGAGAGAGAGAGAGAGAGAGAGAGAGAGAGAGAGGACACAATAAAACAAGATGGCACAGAAAGCGGGGAGTATACAGCAGAAGTAAAAGAGAGATAAAGCAGTCAGAAACAGAAAAGGCCACAAAACGACAAACAAGACACTAGAGACACTAGAATCAGACTACATCTGTTTACAGTGAGCTGAACACCGTAGTTCAGTTGATTCTTCACTCAGACGATATGCTCTTGTATATGAATCAACTCCTGCACAGCACAGACCGAGGCCATATTTCACTGGTACATGGCGATGTAACCAAACTCAGAAAACACTTTAGAGGCAGGCAAAATCACTACAGTCAAAGATTATGACACTGGGAAACACAGATTTAGTTTTTTAAATGATGTTTTTGATAAAAAAAGTCATTTTTGATTTCAGGTTGACTTTAAGAATAACCAGTTTGTACTGTTTTGCATGTCATTATTGAACAATAAGCCGTAAAATGGTTTTATATGTCACACTGATCATAGTAAAATTGTGCTAAATTCGAAAAAACTGATTTCTTTAGGTAGTTTTTCTCCCTACAATGCCCTGCATGTACCTCTCTAACCTGCAGGCGTTTTGTGTTGTTTGGGTAGGCGGCGTTGTGTCACACCATGTCAGCAAAACTCATAGCTTATGTGAGCAACGTTATTCATCAGAGGAGCTGCAATAGATCACAAAATAAATGGAGAAAATGCAGTATATTGTGTTTTTTTTGGTTGCCGTTACAAGTACCAGCAGCCCTGAAGTTGTGGCTAATTGTTTTGAAGCTACACACAAATACTAAAGTTGAACAACTTTAGAGTTTGTAGCGACCAGTTCACTAACAAAGACTACTCAAAACCAGTGAAAAGAAATGCAAAGTGGATTTCTTCAAATGCCAGCTGCTGAAGAAAACTGCTGTTCCCTCTGTTGTATTTTCCACCACAGAAACTAGAATCAAGGTAAGAAACGTATGTGGGTCAAATAAATTTGTTGTCATTAGCCACCGTGCATATATCACTGTTAGCCATTAGCTTACAGACTGTCTAACGTGGGCCATGCAATACAATAAGTATCTGCTTCACTATCCTACCAAGCAGAGTAGCAAGTAGTTTGATGTTGACACCACCAGTTTCCAATCGCCCTAATTTGTTCTCCTCCGCATACTCTGCCATCTTCCAAAGCTGTAAAAGTAAACTGTAAACAAAAGCTGCTGCTGGCGTTAGCCATGTTGAACGGCTGTAGCTACAGGCTAGTATCTACAAAAGCATGTTAGCTTGCGCACATTGATCTCAGTTGAGAATGTGGTTTTGAGAGGAAACACAGAAGTGATCCTGGAGTAATAGTTTATACTATAAATGCATTTTAGGCCAAAAACTTTATCAGAAACTATCACAAAACAATGTCTCAGGTATCAAACAATGCATTCATAACCATTTTGTGTAATAACTTAATGGGATGAAGCTTTTAGAGCCATTAAATGCCTCAGACGTCTGGTTCCCAGTACTATAATGGTGAACAATTCTGACTCAGTAAATTTCTCTAGAAAGGCACATTTCATACCGAGCCATTCTGAATGATTTTGTTTACATCTAAACCTTTGATTGATTGAGTAATTTAGCAAAAATCAGTGTTCAGAGTTTCCCCTTTAAAGGGATAACAGCATAACAGACCTGATATGATACAAATAAACTCAGTAAAACAACAACACAAAGCAGCAAATGTTATGTTGTTGAAAGAACTGGTGGTAAACTATAGAAGGCACCTGTACTCTGTAATTATTATTCTCTACACTATATAAACAGATGTGTATTGAGTAAAAACAATGTGGGAGTTTGTTATTTTCGACCAAAGGGTTTATATTGTGGTCAGTATATGCCCACTCATCATGTGAGCCTCACACACACCTGGCAGCACAAGTTGCTGTTCGTGGCTAATTAGGATAAACAGTGGAAGCAGTGGGAGAGAGATGTGTGCTGTGAGCATACAGAGTTAAGGTGGTCTTAATATCATACCATCTTGTGACTGTTATGAAGGGAAAACAGTGTAAAATAAAAGTGGATTTCAAAGGTGAACAGTATGAAAATGAACTGGTAAAACAGATTTATATCTGAAGGCAATTAAATAGAAAATAGAACTCTGATAACATCAATACAAAAATTAATGAGAGCCATCTTTTGACTTTGATAAGGGGAAGATATTGTGAGTGCACCCTGGATTGCAGGGAAAAAGGTGGTTTGTGTGGTTAAAAAAAAAAATCTTTTCTTCTTCAGTGAAACGAACCTGGGTTATTTGCATAACAAGGCACAGTGATATAATGAAATGCTGAAAAACAGATCCAGTTTAAGTTCTCAAGCTTTGAGACTTCATGTGTGAGTCTGAGAGGATAGATTTGTGGGGAAATTCTTAATTTACTGATTCTTCTTTACTCCTGTGCTTTTCTTGTGGACGTAACTGTAAACTGATGAAGTACAGTGCACATCATTTGACTGGAACATACACCAACATGCAACTAAGTTGAGCAGCAGTTTATATTGCACATTTTGACTGACTGGCACTCGGTAGGACAAGGGTGAAGGAGCTTGAAAAGATCTTCAAATGTAGTGATTTAACTCTGCAAACAAAGATCAGAACTGTCTAGGCCAGAAGTCGGCAACCCAGATGTTAAGAAGAGCCATTTCTGTCCTTTCAACAAAAATCAAACCACCTTGGGAGCCACAACATTTTATTAACGTCTTGGCTGTAAATATGTCTTAGTATAAGCTAATGTACTAGCATAGGCTAAAAAGTATCATATAAATGAAAACACAGACTCACTTTGCTTTTCTCGCATCTCCAGCAGAAAACCTTTCCTCAAAAGTAGAAAAAACTTTTTACGAGGCTGAAGTCAGCTTTTCATTCTTCAGCTTCTTGTTCAAATTTTCCCGTTCCACCTTAAATGGTGCCTGAGGTGCAAGAATGTAACTGCTGTACTATTTAAGGTGGAATAGGAAAATTCAAACAAGAGGCTGGTAAATGAGAAAATGACTTCAGCCTCGCAACTTTTTTAGTGTTTAACAGTTTCTCGTTGCAGATTAAACATATCAGGAAGTCAGCTGGAGTGCTTATAAATGCAAATAAGTCCATTTGTCTCTAAATTATCAATGTTCGTCTTAGATCTTTCTCTTTGCCTTTTCGTTAGCTACTAACTAGGTGAGGTTGTTGTCTGCATTGCTATGGTGACCAGCAGTCTGCGAGCCAACCTTCAGGGTAAAATGATTATTAAGCAGTTCTACATTAACTTCAGCACTTCAGATCATTTATTATTAAAACTGTATTTGAACGATCAGCAGAGCTTTATTTTACTGCAAAGGAGGATTATTTTATTTTTACATAAAAAGCTAATTCTGCTGTGGAGCTGCAACAGGGCAGTAAAAGGGCCGCATGGAGCCACATGTTGCCGACCCCTGGTCTAGGCTTTGGTCTTTTCTGTAGTTCTTTATGGATGTGAAAGCTGGACCTTTGGTGTTGGCAAAGATTTTTGAGAATACCTTGGACGGCAAAGAAAACAAATGGATTCTTGACCAAATCAAGCCTCACATCTCACACAAAGCCCAGATAACCGAAGCTCTTATTTTGGACATATTATGAGAAGAATTACTTCTTTTGTTATGCTTGGAACAGCTGAAGGTAAAACAGAAAGAGAAAAAGCCAGCAAGATGATGGATGAACACAATCAGAGATCTCATGAACAAGGCATTAAGAAGCCTGAAACCTAAACAGAAGAAGGACATTCTAAAGAAACACAATCCATATGGTTGGAGGTTGGAACATGCTTGACAGCGCTTAATAATAATAATAATAATAATAATAATTATTATTATTATTATTATTGTCATTCTTCTTCTTATTATTATTATTAAAAAAATAATCTGTATGTATTATTTATGACCAGCAACTCATATTTCTGTTAAATAAAAAAATATTTATTGTACTACACAGTTAAGTACAGTTATTATTTCTTGTTTGGTCAATGAGAAGTTATTGAATAAAAATATTTGTTATACCATCACAGTTCAAAGTAAATAAATAATTGCATGTAGATATCAACTTCACTATTTGCCTTTTGTCCTAGATATAAATTTAATTTACTTTCATAAGCCTTTAGATAAAAATTTCTTTAAGATTATGAAAAATGTATTGCAGTGCTATGCATTATCAAGAATGCATAAAAATCAGGGAGGTGTAGATATACAGATCTGTGCAAAGGTCTTTAGCACTGGAAACTGTTTAAAAATCTTATAAATAAGGATGTTTTGCCAGTATAAATGCAATTCAAGATTAAAGTAAATACAAAGAAACATAAATATGATAAAATTAAACAAGTTTTTTTTTTAATGGACTTCCTTGAGGAGAGCTTTGAAAACAGAGCACACAAAGTATTGTTCATTTGATTATTTGAGTATTTATTTTAATGTGAGTCTGCCCAGATAAATAGCTTTAATAACTTTTAATGTAAGCAAATGTATTTTTAGAGGTAATAAAAAAAATCCGACAGCAGTGATATATTCGTAGTAGCACAGTAGTGATATTCTTACATTTGTAAGTCTTACGAGCAAGTCTGCAATAATGTGGATCTTATTTCAGGATTCGCTGGGCGTTCAGCCACCATGCTAAACGCTTGGCTTGTATGACTCTCATGCGTATTCAGCAGATAATGCCGCACTCCTCTGTGAAATTTGCTTCACCCCTGGATTTACTGAAGCAGCACCTGTACTTACTGAAGCAAATCCTCTCTGTGAACAAAATTACACTTGAACTACATTCGCCAGATCTTTTCATATTATTTTAAAGACTCCTTGAGCCTCCGTGCTCTAATGATGTTTACAGTATCTGTCTCTCAGCTGAAAAAGTGTCATGTCTTTTGACTTAAATGTGACACTTTTTGCGCAAATTACTGTCTAGTTTCACTCTCATGATATATTTGA